TAAAAAGTAAATACATCCTCTATATTGTGCAAATTTCAATGTCGACAAGTGGTTGGAGCACATGAAGTCGATAAATAATTCTAAAAATGTATAAACGATTATTCGCGAACGTTAGTTGAAATTGAGTAGTTATGGTCACGTAAAAAAATTGGACAAATAAAATCGAGTATTATGCATTAAACAATACAAAGAATAAAAAAATAAAACAAAATCTATGCTTCACAATGTTAATATTTAATGATACTAATATGTGTGTCCTATATGATATAATTGTACAATGAAGGATGCTAAAGAAAAGGTATTTGAATGGTAGGGTTTACCGCAATCCGTTTCACACCAATTTGTAGATTACGGTCATTTTTCTCTTGTTATGAAAAAATGGTTTGATTTCTTTGTCTCACCAACTCATTGCCTAAGCTTGAAGGGAATTCATTTGAAAAAGTTGGAGAATCCGCCTTCTGTTTGCAACAAGAAGTAGTCGCTTCACTCTTGCCGTAGTGAATTCCTAAGAATTATGCCTGATTTAGTTGAGAACAATTTAGGCGTTCTCATTTTTTATAGAATTCACTTTTTAAACATATCACATCCACTATACCATCCCATCATAATAGTTTGAGTAAGAGTGGATAACCTTAGTGGTAAAACATTATTAAATTGTCCATTCAAGTTCTCAAAGATAAATTATATCTTACATATTGCACTGGATGAACGGGTATGTTACCTTACTAATCAAGCTTACATCACGTATGTTATGGATTTTGATCTCAAGATAATGACGATAATGAAATAAACATCAAGATTTACGTGAAAATTTAATACGAGAAAAAATTACATGTTGAGGAGGAGAAATTTATTATAATCAATAGCAATTATATTTATAATATCTCAATGCACTCAATTGAAATCTAAAACTCTCAAGATATTGTATGAATCTTGTTAATTTCATTATCGTCATTATCTTGCGATCCAAATCCATAACAAGTGGTATCAAAGTGAAGTTGATTGTTCCGCATGGTGAATTTGAAGTATAATATCCCATTGTTGGATAAAAATAAGAGATTTACCTTATGGCGAGTGAAGATACGGGGGCTTCTAGCGCGGATGGATTTGGAGGAAGCCTTGTTTGGAGTTAATAAGATGTCTGATACCTGTACCCAGGATGAAAAGCAGTGTATGGATCGAAAAGCCCAATCTCAAATTCATTTACATCTTTCAAATCAAATTCTTCATGATGTTCCAAAGGATAGAAGTGTCGTTGCGTTGTGGTTGAAGATGGAGCAACTTTGCATGACAAAGAGCTTGACCAACAAGCTACACTTGAAACAATACTTATATTCTCACCGGATGTCTGAAGGTGCGTCATTGGATGATCACTTAACTATGTTCAAAGAAATCATGACTAGTTTGGAGACATTGGAAATTAAGTATGACGAGAAGGACTTGGTGTTGACATTGTTGTGTTATCTGCCGCTGTTGACTTTTAGAGATACTATTCTCTATAGTTGGGATACTCTCACCGTGGAAGAGGTCTATCATGATTTACTTTCTAAGGAGAATATAAGGTATCTAGTTGGAGGATTTGGGAATCATGTTGAAGGCGTGGTTATGAAAGAAATCAAGATAGGAATCTTGCCAGAAATATGAGGGGTAGATCGAAATCTTGATATGCTGAGAAGGCATGTCACTATTGTAAGAAGAATGGTCATATTATAGCTAAATGCTATGCCTTGAAGAGCATAAATAAAGTTGTTGGTGCTATTGAGAAAGGAAAGCAACATGTTAATACAACGAAGACTAATGTTGTAGAAAATGGGCAAAGTGAATGACAGCTTCTTGTAATTTCTGACATGGATATCAAACCATGTGATGAATAGGTTCTTGACTGGACTTGTACTTTTCATATGTGTCCCAACAGGGACTGGTTGTCAACTTATGAAGGAATTTCGAGAGGTGCAGTTATTATAGAAAACAACGTGCCTTGCCAAATTGTCTGAGTTGGTACAATCAGAATCAGAATGTTTAACGGGGCTATCAAAACACTTACAGATGTAAGGCATGTTCCAAAACTAAAGCAGAATCTCATATGTTTAAATGCAATTGACTCGAAGGGTTATAGATATACTGATGAAGGTAGAGTTTTGAAGATGAGTTGGGGTGCTCTTGTTGTCATGAAGGGATATAAAAACTCTACACAATTGTACATTTTACATGGTTCCACAGTAATTAGGAATGCATCAATTTCTACTTCTTCTTTGACAAATAATGAAATTACAAAATTTTGACATATGCGGCTCGGGCATATGAGTGAGAATGTCATAGCATGGCTGAGTAGAAGGAAATTTCTTGATGTGCGAAGACCAGCAAAATAAATTTTTGTGAGCATTGTGTCTTTGGGAAATAGAAGAGTCAGATTTATGAAATGAAGACACAACATAAAGGGAACACTTGAATATATCCATTCAGATCTTTAGGGACTTGTGAGTGTACCATCAAGAGGAGATCATTATTACTTGTTGACAATAATTGATGATTTCTCCAAGAAAGTTTGGGTATTTTTCTTGAAACAGAAGAGTGGTGTGTTTAGAACCTTCAAGGAGTGAAAAACATTAGTAGAAAAATAGACTGGAAAGTAGGTAAAACATCTATGCACAGATAATGATTGGAGTTTTGTTCAAATGAATTCGATAGCTTCTACAGGGTTGAAGGAATCTTGATACACTAACAGTGCCTGGAACTCATCAACAGAATGGTGTGGAAGAACGGATGAATAAAAATTTGATGGAAAATGTTCGTTGTATGCTTTCAAATTCTGGGTTGCCTAAGACTTTTTGGGCTGAAACTGCTACTATAGCTTGTTTTCTGATTAATCGCTTACCCTCAACTACCATTGATAAAAAGACACCGGAAGAGGTATGGTCTAGTAAACCTTCTTATTATTCTGATTTGAAAATTTTTGGGTGTCTTGCTTACTCATGTGGATCATGGAAAGTTGGAACCTAAGTCTAGAAGTGCATCTTTCTTGGGTATAAATCAATTGTGAAGGGGTATGAATTGTAGTGTCCTGAGACAAAAAAAAAAGGTAATTGTTAGTAGAGATGTAGCATTTGATGAACTTGCTATGGTTCGTGGTTCATCTCTTAGGGATTCTGATAAAATTGGGGAGCAGAATTATTCAACTCGGGTGGAGTTAGAAATTGGGTTAGAGGAAAATGAGAGGTTACAAAATAGTCTACTACAGATCAGTCCAATTCGAGGTTAACAAATAGTAATATCTTGCCTACTTTGCCTACACTTCAATAGCTAATGATAGACCTCGCAGACATATTAAACATCCATAGAAGCATGTGAAAGCAGATTTGGTAGCTTATCATTGAGTATGGTTGAAGACATTGATTCCACTGAGGAACCTGCTACATATTCAGAGGCAGTCAGTTGCAGTGATTCTAGCAGGTGGATGATTACTATGCAGGAAGAGATGAAGTCAATGAGCAAAAATAACACTTAAAAGATTATATTTGAATCAGAAGTAGTACATTGAGAAGGTGCTTGAAACATTTAATATAGTGAATGCGAAGGCTGTTAGTACTCCATCGTTGCTCACTTTAAATTATCATCTAACTTGTGTCCTCAGTCAAATAAAGACATTAATTACATGTCTGGGTTCCTGATTCCAGTGAAATTGTTTCGCTTATGCATACTATGGTTTGTATAAGACCCGATTCGACACATGTAGTTAGTGCGGTTAGTAGATACATGGCAAATCTTGGCAAGAAACATTGGAAAGCAGTATTGTGGATCTTCAGATACTTGAGGGGCTCTTCTAATACTTGTTTGCATTTTGATAGAAATTCAGATGAAGCCATTGGGTATGTGGATTCAAATTATGCATAGGATCTTGATAAGAAGAGATCACTTACAAGGTATGTGTTTACCCTTGGAGGTTGTGCTATCAGCTGAAAAGCTACTTTGCAACATACAGTAGATTTGACTACAATAGAAGCAAAATACATGGCCATTACAGAGGCATGTAAGGAGTCTACGTGACTAGATGATTGATTGGTGAAATCAGTGAAAACTTACAGATGTCTACAGTATTATGTGATAGTTAGAGAGCAATTTTCTTGACTAAAGATCAGATGTTACACGAGAGGACTAAACACATTGATGTTAGATATCATTTTATGCGTGATGTGATTGCTCGTTGTGATATTGTAGTGAGCAAGGTTGATACCTAGGATAATCCTGCTAATATGATGACAAAACCACTTCTCATTGCTAAATTTGAACATTTTTGAACTTAGTGTTTGTCATTGATTTAGTTCATTAGGACTTGTTTGCAAGAAGGTGAGTAGTGTTTATTGATGGAGTTGTGATTTGGAATTCCTTGTGTTGGAATTTGGTTAAAGATGGAGATTTGTTGTGGTTAAACCCAAATTCTAGTGGCTATTGGAGTCTAAATTGGAGTAGTCTTGAAGAGATCAAAATTATGGACCAATGGAAAGAGTCGCCGCATTTTCACTGGGCTTGACGCTTGAGCGAGCTTGGTAGAAAACTCGAGACTTGGCGCTACCCTATCTCCCGACAGGCTTATCCGGCCCAGGTCCGTAGGTTTTTTTCCGTATTGGGCTTCCATTTAAATCTTCGTATTTATTTTCTTCTTATTTATTCCATTATCGTCATTATTTTGCGATCTAAATTCATAATAAGTACGCAGTATTTAATCATGCCACGAATGTTTTGGAACTAAGAATTTAGACGAAATAAAGGGGCATCGGCATAATTTTTTTTATTTTAAGAAACATTCGTATATAAGTACAAACACGTTACATGAGAGGCACATAAATTTCAAATTCTGGAGGTATTACTATGGACTAAAATCTCTTTTATTCATGTAATGCTACAAAAGCTACAACACAGTAATACGATTCTTCAGCAGCTTCATTCTGTCCCAACTTTCAGACATTAGGAATGCTTTTTAACTACCTTCTTGTGTATTCGTCCTAATGTTCGACTCCTTCCCTCGTTTGCAACAATCTTCGGACATAGCCTTGCACAACCAAAGATTTTGAGTATGTAACACGGGATCGTAAGCTTTTTACCAAAAAACCAATAATAAAATTTGGTGTCATATAAGCAGAATTCTTTATACCTTCAAAACCTGTCATTCATGGTTCGAAAGATGGGATCTGATCCATAGGAGCATGGAGAACGCGATATACTGCTCTATCGACTATACCTCTGTAAGGATCTTCCTTTCTCCTTTTCAGTAAATAAGCTATACTATTTTCAACTTCAGATTTTATATGCAAATAGAGTTCTTTCGCATTACTTCTGTCCTTCAACATATCTTGTTTTCCCTTTGTTGGAATAGGCTTCCGAAACAGATAGTAAACACGACCAGGGATTTTTGGCAGAAGTCCCGGGAGATATAAAGTTTGGTTGGCAACCTCCCCACTCATTCCAGTCCTGTAATCAGATCATGTTCAATGTCCTTAGATATAACTTCGATTTCACAACTACAAGAGCACAACATAGTCTACCAAGCTTTGAGCAAATATTCGTTGAACTTTTAGCAAAATTTTCATATTGGTCACTAATTTCATTTTGTTCCGAGTTGGTCACTCAACTTCGATTTTGTTTCATGTTTCACTAAATTTAAACATGCACCTTTTCAATTAGTCAAACTAATTCATATTGCTGGAGTAATTTAAGTTCAGTGAGTGACAAACTTGAAATAAAATGAAGTTTATTGACAACATAAAATTTTCACTAAAATATTAGTAACGACCTGTGTATTTGACCCAACATGACGGTAGAAATAATATTGTCCATGTAGATTGTTTACCTTACGTTTAGATCTTTGTACCGCTCATTATCTCTTCTAATTTTGTCGCCTATATTTGGAATTCTCATCAGGTCATCACAGTCGAGAACCAACTGCCAATAAAAAAATCAAATGAGATATCATTTTCACAAGGAGAATATTTGTAACCTACTTAAATTTCACTCCCACAAATAGGCACAAGCACATAGATGTTAAGTGTGGACCAATATACAAATATGCATATTCTGAGCAAAGACACTATGTAATTTTCATCAGAGAATTTTCGGGTTTCACAGTCCAAAAAATACAATGCTTCCGAGCGTGATGATCACTTCAACATATATCTGAATACAAAGGGTTGTGCATGAACTTGTGGTTAGGGATGGCAACGGAACGGAACGGGGCGAGCGTTTAAGGCAGGTCCTTGCCCTGTTTACTACCCGTTTAATTTTATTTTTTATTTTTGTAAGTTTTTGATAATTTATTTTTATTGTCCATATTCATTAGATGTAGTCAAATAATTTTAGTTGCCATTTTCTATTAGAACTAAAGAAATTTTGTAAAATTTTTCATTTAAAGTATTGAATTCTAAAAAAAAATTAAATGTGACTGGGCGGGGCAAGGCGCCAGTTACCCTTCCCCGTCCCGAGTCAAAATTCACCGCTCCGTCTCCGTCCCGAATACTCGATTAAGCGAGTTATCCCCGTCCAGTTAAAGCGGGGCCCCGTGGGTACCGGGTTTGTAGTGTTGAGATCACCTGCTTCTCATTAATGGCCGATCTTTAAACTACAACAAGGATTCCCGCTGGTAATCCTGCGCCATTATAGACCCTAAAGTCATAGCCATAGGCCTATAACCTCCTTCCAAGGGAGGAGATGATATTATGATTTATGGGTAAGAATTCAGATTTCCTTGGTCGTCAAAAACTAACTTCATCCAGTTGGTTTCATCATTGAGGTGTCCCAAAATAAGATCCCCATTTCGAAAAGTTAACTAAAGCTTCCTCATGTTGTCCCTATGTAGCTGGTTACATCAATATTTTATAGTGCTACTAAATGAAAATCCGGAAGTTGGAATTTAGAAACAGGCTATTCTTTTCAGAGAATACAGCAAAGAAACTATCAAAGATAATTCATTGCAAGACGTGAAAGATTGTTTAATATAGTGAATAAATAAAAAGAATAATTTACCTCTGCTATATCATCTTCTCCAACAACTCCAAATGGTACAATTGTCGCCCCAAATCTTGCTGCCATCCTGACAAATTCTGGCTGTTCAGGCCAAAATAATTTATACTCTTCGCCCTGGAATAAGCATCAATGACAAGATTGGTACTAGTTTCAAGATGTATCCTTCCCCCACCAAAATAAATAAATAAATAAAGAATGTATATGCTAACATAAATATTTCATTTTAAAATTGGATATAAAAGATATAAAATAAAATAGAAAGAAATGAAAAGATAAGTATGCACTTTGCGATGTAGAGCCTCACGAGCACCACCAGGATAAAGTAGCACGTGTGATTTTGTCGCGAGCAATTTGAAAAGATTGCCTGCACTAACAGGTAATCCACCATATAACCTCAAAGTGTCAAAGATGGAAAGCTCCTTGTTCTCACTCTCAACAAGCTGTGAAAACAATGTTGGGTGTGCTATACCACGAACCAAGATCTTCTTCTCCATAAGAAATTGTTCAACTAATGGAACAAGTTCCAAACCCATAAGCATGTGATAACCAACCAATATGACCGGACCTTCATTCGGAACACCTGAGAGACCTCTCACTATCTTCCCATCTTCAGTAGTAGACCACATCACAGGACCAGTATAATTGCGAAACCATCTGCATTGCATTATATGGAAATACAATCTTTAAAAAAATTAAGTAAAAAAGAGTTAAATATGCAATTAGACATAGCACATCACAAAGATTCGCCTATCTACCAAGAATTTTTCATATATTATGTTTTGATCTGTGTGCAGAATAGAAATATACTAAAACTATCTTTAGGCCATGCAACTAAATCCAACAGAAACAAACATACATTAAAAAATATGATAATGAAGGTATGGGCTATGACTGAAGCTTGGACAAATGACAACACCTTACATATTTCATTGAATAAAAACTAAAATGAATTTGTAGTCAGAGAAGATGGAAATCTAGAAAGAAAAAATTTTTATGTCCATTTACCCATTGCCCAACAGTGTTTGCTTAAATTCCGACTTGCTGGGAGGTAGAAAATCCGCAACAAAATCATAATTCCTCGAACGACGGTAAGTGCAAGTACCTTTGATAATGGTCAATAGATTAACTCCATCTTCCTGCATGAGAAAAATTTGAGATAGATCAATACTAAAAAGGTATATATGACTACAAAAATAAACAAATCCCATCCAATTTATGTCCAGGATTTCATGCCAAATTAATGTAACCAGGCAAATTCCACAAACACAAAAGAACAACAAGATTATGAATCATTCAAAGTATAGATATAATAGAAGAAGAAATGATGCAGATTGTTGAATTTTTTGTGTGTGTAGAAAAGAATAGGTATGCCTTTTCCTTCTGGCAGTAAAAAGCATGTGCATGCCACCAATTTTTTTATACAATGATGATGTGCTGTCTCAATCTCAGCTCCAAGAACCTAAATAAGGAGGTAAAAAAATTTATTTGATTTTTGCTGGTGTGAGGTTCATATAGAATTAGAACCAACATTTTGTGCTAAAATTATCGATCTTGACAACTGATGAAATGCAAGAAAATGCCTTAGTTTCAAATAAATTGTAAAAAATGAGTGTTCTTCTATTTCACTTAAATTTTGGATGACTTAAGCTTTTGGCTTCGCAGAAAATACCTCGATGTTGTTGTTGCAGTCAAACTTTTATTTGTCATAAAAATGAAAAGACATTATATGTTGCTGATAGCCTTTAATCTTCAATTTAGGAATCGGGATAAAAATCAGTGACTATGTTAAATCTGACATATAATATTAGAAAAGGTACAGGTTTTGAAGAGTATGTCTATATACAATCCTAGAGATAAATTTTGTATACAGAAGGAAAATCTCATCCTTATAAAAGTAACCTTAACCTGGTTTTAGCTATTAGAACACTGTAGGGGCATTAATGCACGGGGGAGATTCTCACCTACCAATAGTATGGTATGCCCATTGTCCTTGAAGTATCGTATTTTGCAATTCCGTATTGAACGCGAAAGTCTCCAGGCTTCGTTTTCACTGGGAAGCATATTATCCTTGCCACTGACATGCAAATGAATTGTCATTAGGAATAAAACCAATCGATTTGTCACATAAGTGCTTCAAGTCAACTATAGAAAAAAAATTAAAAAAATTACACAATACTAAAGGCAATTAACACTACAAAATACAGAAATTACGGCTTATAGCATCATCCAGATGTAAAATACGGTTTGCCCAATAAGCATAAGCAGAATATATATGTTATTTGAAACTCTAATGGCCTTGATGATAATAATCTTCATATATGCCATGTCCAAGTGAACATTGGGATAACTAACCAAAATGTGCACATTCATACAAGGTGACAAAATACAATGGCATAGAAGACATGAGAATGGATGTTATCAAAGGCGTCTTTACAAGCCCATTTATAGACAGAGAGCATTCCTTCCTTGAAGGAAAAATGGTAAAAAAATCTTTATTGTCAACTGTTATCTGTTTCTCTCCACAACTAATAAAATTATCATCTATCTTTTAGCTGTTTGACATTGTCATCGTTGAATTATCTATATCAAACCAAACTGGATATGATTAGGCTGCCCAGGCTATAAACTATTTGGGAGGTAAAGAGGGTATGTGATAGGCTCCAACACTCCCCTGGCATTACACAGAAAACATTAAAAATATTCTTTAAGAGTCGATAAAGAGGAGAGACCTAGCAAGAATAAGTACTTCTGCTTTGATGGCATGAAGACGAGAGTTAGTAAATGCTGCAGCAGACTTGAGCAGCTTCAGTTTCCAAAGAAGAGTTTCCTTAGGTAGGATATCAGACAAACCCTAAACATTTCAAATAAAAAATTAGCACTTGAACCGTGCAAATATTCAACCACACAATATTTTGAACCACATATAAAAGAAATTATAGCAAACTTTTTTGATCTTTGTGTTTAAAAGTAAATGCTGCAATCATTTGACAATTGTGGTTAGGATGTTCGTGGACAGGTCATTGCGTGCCAAAATCTCCATTCCTTTCTCTTTCTTCGACAACCCTCTTTGTGGATTATTGATAAAAGCCACCATAATGTTTACCCATGAAGATACAGCATAATAGATTGTCGATATAGGTCATAAGGTAATAATAGCAGTCTTGAATAGGGAATCAAAAGGAACACATAGTTTTTAGTATTTATAAAAGCGTAAATAGGTACAAACATTCTCAGCTATAACTCTCATTTTTCTCCTTTAGTATTAGCAATCTTTATCCCTCCATGCATCACGGATTTGCTCATTCACATCACATAACATTCTGGTGTGTATGTGAATGAAGATTATACACCATACATTGAGCATTCTACTGTCAACAGATGCTTCATGTTTGAAAACCAGGAATATCTAGCAGCGTGATAATATCCTTACGGAAAGACGCAGTAGCAGACCAGTAAGGTTCTCAGATAATTGTTCAAAATATCGCGTCGGAGGCAGCATTGAGTCAATATTAGCTGTTGCCATCTTCACTGGATCACCTGGTGTAAGTAAGAACAATGTTCAGAATAAGTAGTGCCAAAGGTAGTAACTGAAGATGTGTTGCTTCTAGGAGGAGAAGGGGAAAAAAAAAAAAACAAAGATCGCCAAAGTTATACAGATTGTTATTATGACGTACTAAAGAGCGTAAATAAATTGAAGCAGCAAAAATATAGAATGCATAAAGAATAAGTGAAAAATACAATATAGAACTCCAATGTGGTTGCAGATATATAAAATAATAAAAAGGTGATTAGAGAAAATGAGAAATGTTTCAACCAATCAGTTCCATTATCTCAACCAGTAAATCAACTGAGAAATATGGAACCAGTTGAAAGCACAGAATTAAGACTACACTTGTTAAAACCAATATAGTGTTAGCACAATTCTATTAAGCATAAAGGAAGGCATTACATTCAAAGGCTTTTATTGAAGAAATTTGAAGGAGTCAAAAAGTAATCATTGACTTGTATCAGAAAATCGATAAGGGAAAATTCAAAGGAGAAAAGCATCATGGGTCCTGCATTGTGTTGGCCAGAGATGCTAATCAATTGGGAACTTTTCCTTACAGCAGAAAACAAGCAGGGATGTACGAGTCTTTGACTTGAGATTTATTGCAAGAACAAGAAGTCATTTCTTAAGGCAATGTACTTCAGGAATTATGTATAATTTAGTACCGCCATTTCAGCAAGAAAAAACATCCTGGGAGCAAAGATTGGTTGTTAGGCACCATGAATGACCGTAGACAGTGATAAACATGTGTAACTCCTTCATCACCATTTTTCTCATGTGTAAGCAGATTATGAAAGATAAAAAAGAATAGTTCGATGTTTAAATTGTCAATAATCACTAAGTTATTGGGGATTAAGTAGTGCTAGTTGTGTCAAATAACATATCACTTCTAGTTGAATAATTGATTTCAATCAAAGAGATCGAAAAGTTGCAGGAAATGAACCACATAAGAAAATTTAATTGCTGAACTTCAGATGCGATAACAGTCATTATGGTTTAGAACGGAGAATATAAAGAAAATTGTCCAGATTATCAAGGAATCGTAAAGATTTTCAAAGCCAGATTATCAAGGAATCGTAAAGATTTTCAAAGTAGCAGAAAGTATACCCATAATAAAGCTTAGAAGATATGGAACAGTGGTATGAAGTTCATCAGGCAAGGCCTCCAACAGAGGGAGCAAAGGTTGCAGCTGTGACCTCCCAAATGAAGTAGCTGAAAAGAATGTACAATCAGTTAACACCCCCGCATACCAACCAGAGGTGTCCACAAAAGACACATCGAGACATTATAAGGATCGCGATTTGACAAGCACACCTGGATTAGCTAATACCACCACAAGGTCAATATTAGGATTACGAGCTGCAACTGCAAGTGCTAAGCATCCACCAATTGAGTCTCCCACCAGATAAATGGGTCTCTTTGGGGCTGAGGAATGCTCGGACCTCAAAGTCTCTTCGACCCATTCTACAAAGGCTGAAGTAAACAAAGACTGTCATTCAAGTTGTCTGTGTATTGTGAAAATTGTTGTGCAGGTCAATAGGATAGAAAAATTGCTGACAAACAAGAACGGAAAAATAATTGCATTGAAACATATGCACATCTTGGTAGAACTACTTGTGTAACTTCCTTTTAAACCTGTAGCATAAGTTCTCGGGGATGAACAAAGAAACTGAAATTTTTTTAAGCAAGAAAAAACTAAAACCTTCAAATGGTGTTCGATCCTGCACAGGAATATGCATGCACCAAACTTGAAAGACCCTGAGACCAAAGAAAAATACTGTATAAATGATTTAGCATATAAGCTTAAAAAGAACAGACAGTCGTAATACAATAAGACATGGTTTGTCGATTGTCTTTCTAGTTTTCACAAATGGTCTAGCCAGAGCATTCAACATTAAGGATTCCAAACCTTCCACAATTGTAAGAAGAAAAAATAAAAATAAAATAAAATAAAGCTGGGTTATAGTTCATATGATTTCAGCAAAGAGTTATCTGAGACTTACTTGCCAAGAGACTTGTTATGCAGAATGAGGCCAAGTCCAAGACCATCCATTCCTTCACGCAAAGTAAAAATGAATTAAAACTAAAAAAATCGCCTTACACATGTAAAACTTCTATACAATTACAAAAATGATTATGTTTGGAATTACTGGAATAATTTCTTATGTCTGATCAACAAGTTCATTCGTATCAAAGAGAATTATCTTTTTAATTTACAAAGCCATAACTTTCCAATTGAGCATCAAATGATTATACCAGGTAAGAACAGAAGAATTGGAGAATCCTTTAAAGGCGGACCACAAGAGATTGGGGTGAACCACCTCGGTGGGCCCCCATCGGGTTTAATAATCTCTTTGGCTAAATCAAGATAATCCTTCACACTTTGAGTACCATATCCATCATCCCATAAAGGCTCCAACTTTTCCTCCTCAGAAACTTTTTCCCTGTTCTTTTCATCCACATTTGAACCCCTATGACCATGCCCCACCTCAATTAAAAGCCCATCACTCTCCTTTTCCTTCACAGCAGAAGATGATACTCCATTAACAATCCTATTCACTTTAACAGATTCAACAGATAATGCAGCATCAGCCGAATCCCCACTAGCTAAACACTGAATTCCAGATCTATAATGACATTTCTTGTTCAAATTCAAAGCAAAATGGGGTGATGCCCAGAAACATTTCACAATAGAAGCCATGTATATCTGACCCCAACGGCTTCGAACTTTCCAAATTCAAGAATTATATATAGAGACAGAAAAGTATTAAAGCCACAAAAGAACAAACAACGTGTGCCAAAAGAGAAGCCCACTTGAATAATCACCACTGTAAGCAGAAAAAACCAGAAACAAGTGGAAAGTTTGTATCTATCATGCAATAAATCCAAGGACAGATCTAATTTGTGGGGTCTTTTGTTTCACGTGCGCTTATTGGGTTTACTCAAACAGTCGAGAATCAAATGAGGATATAGAGCATGTTTGTTCAGGATTAAAATCTAATTTTAATTGAAAATATGGTCGTTATTGGGTCTCACTTGTTCAATAAAAATCAATTTTTTAATTTTAATTCAATTTTAATCTCTACCGAACACCTCAAATACTAATAATGAAGAAAATTTGTAAGTACAAGCTAGTGAAGCTACTGTAAAATAATTAATTCAATAATGAAAAAAAACAGAATTATTACCGGCGCAGAGTGATATGAACATGTGTCAGATATGTATTGGATACAGAATTACGAAGTTGGTAAGTAGTTGGTGCTCTTTGGAAGAACGTGACGCGAATATCCACGTCCAGCCATATTTTTTGTTTGTTTGTCGGCAAAGCTTATGCAGGATGACGTTTAACAGGTGGTCTAGCTTGAGAATTTTGGATAAAATGGCTTCAATGGTGTCAATTTATTGTCATAGTAGCAAGTTGGTTTTTATCTTTAAAACAGAGCAAGTTGATCTTTAATCTTTCTTTGCAACTGTACAAATAGTCCTAATTAATTACAAAAACAATTTAACCATTTAATTACTTGATTTTTAAAAAAAAAATTGTTTAGCCCATCTTTGGGCTCCATGAAAATGAGAAAATGGGAGAATATGTGTTTTGAAATAGTGATTTTTGGAGAATGTATGGTTAAAATGAAGAAAAACTTTGAATTTACATATAATATTTTTTTATGAGAAAATGCATGATCAAAAATAAGTTTTGAAAAAAATACAGCTCAAAAATATTAACACCAAATAATGGGGTTCAAACAAGGGCGTAAACTTCTTCCTAGGTTTATGGCAATTTCAGAGATTTAGATGCCCTTCTCCTTTCAAAAATTATAAAAATATTCTGAAATTTATTTTTCGTAATAGATTCCCCTCCGTTGACAAGTAATTTCTCACTTTACCCCGTTATACTATTTTAAAAATGTTATTTCATTTTATTTAAATTATAGTCCTTATTTCCCTTTTTGCGGTATTTTTTATTTATTTTTAGATACATTTTTTCATATTTTGATTTATATGAAATTATTTTCATTAAGAATACTACATATATGTATATATATATTCTAAAATTATAAAATTGAGATATGTATATTTTTGACAAATAATTAAGAGTGGCAAAATACTCGACCCACATTGCCTAGCCTTTTTTAGGTAATCAGTGTGGGGATTAGAGATGGCAACGGGGCGGGACGGGGGCTAAGAAATTCTCCGCACCATCCCTGCCCCGTTACCCATTTAAGGCGGGTCGGAGCGGGGCGTGGGTAGGTCATTTCCCCCTTTTTTTTTAAAAAAAAATTATTTTTTGATAATTTATTTTTATTATTCATATTCATTATATTTAGACAAATAATTTTAGTTTTTATTTTCTATTAGAACTAATAAAAATTTTCATTTAAAGTATTGAATTCTAAAAAAAAATAAAAAAAATTTAACGGGGCGGGGCCCCCGTTACCGGTCCCCGCCCCGAACCCACCCAGGGCAAAATTTTCCACCCCGTTACCCGTTTAAGCGAGTTATCCCAGCCCCTTTTAGAGCGGAGTCTCGCAGGCATCGGGTTTATCAGATTTTTTTGCCATCTCTAATGAGGATGGAAAACATGGTCCCCGTTCCTAATGCCTCGTTTTGGCCTCTTTTTATTTATCTTATTTTTTTAAAATTAATTGATATTTTTAAAATAAATAATTAAATTAATCAATGTGATAAATGTGAATACTTTAATCATCCTTCCGTCCTTCCCAAATGTGCTTCTCAAAAGCCCATGGACAAGATCAATTTGACCTTGACCTTGGCGAGTAGACACTCTTACAAATAAGAGCTGTGCTACGTGTACACTCAGCATAATTCTACAAATAATTAATACATCGTCATAAATAGTTCAATACATGCTTTCAAGTAATTTAACAAAATCAAATAAATATTTTATATTCCTTGATTTAGAATGTTAACATTTTTCATATTTCATACTTTTATAATCTTGACATTTATACTATATTGAGCTTAGAAAATTAAAATGATATTATCGTAATTATTGAAAAAAAAAAAAATTGAATCAAAGGCTTAAAGATTACATTTCTTTTTAGTTCCTTTTTGAGTAAATATTTATATCAATTTTAGTTTGTTCGATTTTTTAAAAGGAGAATAGTTTTTGTGAATAAGATAAAATCACTATGTACAAAAAAAATAAAAATCAACCTTTTAAAACTAAAACAATTTATTTTTGCTTAATTAAAATTAAGAAATAGACGAGCAAGAAATTAAGTACAATTTTATATATTGCACAAGAGAAATTGAGAAAAGGACAAAGTCGGAAGTTTTGTCAAGAGGGGAGGTTTCTACAATTTTCGAAAGGAGGTGTATTTGAAATAATTATAAACCTAGAGGAAGGTTTATATTATCGTCTCTAAAATTTAATTTAAACGTTCCCGAGGTCTACTATTTTTGCGGTTCAAAATAAACAATAGGTGGGCCTAACGCCATAATTGTGACTCTTTTATTTATTTTTTGAAAAAGCAATTTGTAAGCGTTGACTTCAATTCCCTACCCTGATTTGTTTTATATAATTTTTATGTTTTCATTTCGAATCCTATTCAAAAAGTAAAAAAATATATTAGAAAATAAAAAAAATAAAGAGGTTGATAGATGGATATAGTACAATCCCCTATCCGTCTAGCTTTTTGAAATTATCCAACGATTCAAGGATGAAATTTTTATCCTTAGCCCTATCATGTCATGTTCCTTTGCGGACCCTATGTAAGAACGGCCAAGCAAGCAATTAGAGTGTTATTTAGAAATGTGAGACGAAATATGTTTCGATCAGCATAACAACTTATAAATTCTAGACGATTATTAATTGTTTAGTAGAGATGGCAAAATGTCACGACACTATTCCACCTCTCATTGCCCTCGCTTGCTAGGCAAGGATTCCCCGATTAGATGGAGACCACGATTAAGTTACATTGAAGAATATAATGAATTGGGTTAGAATAATTAGATATAATTTAATATTAACTTTTTTTAAATCTAATTTTAATTTTTATAAATAATTTACTTTTTGTTAAATGTCCCCAATTTGGGGACATATAGATTTAATTGAATGAATTTAATAATGGTAATGTTGGAATGAAAAAGGATGAATATAATACTTTTCTAAAATTTGAATTTTTTTTACAATTTTCGAAAGGAGGTGTATTTGAAATAATTATAAACCTAGAGAAAGGTCTATATAATTGTCTCTAAAATTTAATTTAAACATTCCCGAGGTCTACTATTTTTGTGGTTCAAAATAAATATAAGTGGGCCCGACGCCATAATTGTGACTCTTTTATTTAATTTTTGAAAAAGCAACTTGTAAGCATTGACTTAAGAGTCCGTTTGATTATTGTTAGGTTTTAGCTGATTTTGTTGGCAAATTCCATGGACTAAATGACTTAATTCGATAGGATGTAAAAGTTTAAGGGGTAACGTGCAATTTGTTCAAAAGTTAGTTAGTAGGTCTAGAGATTCGAGTTTGGAACAAAAAGGAAAACAGAGCGAATTTTCGTTGAACTGTCGCCAAGAGTCGGCTCGAGTTACAAAAGCAGAAACATCGCTAGACCGTCGCTCCTCCTTCTCTCGAGCAACAGGCTATTGTTGGGCCATGCTCGAGTGATAGTGCTGTCCAATAAATTTTTATTTTGAGTTTTCAAGGCTTTTTACTGGGCCCATTCGTTTCTTGACCTACCCATAAATATAAAAACTCCTGCGTGTTTTTTTTTCGAGGGTTGAACATTGAGATAAACAGATCAGAGAGTGATTCCTCCATATCATATCTTTCAACCTTCATCTGTGTAAGATACTTTGGTGAGAAAAATATCGATTTCATAATCTAAATACCAAACAACAACTTCCACTATATCTGGTCAAAGTTCTGAAGATCAAAGGAAGTTGACAGGAGTTCTTGTCTGTGAAGAACGGGTCGTTCCTCAGTGATCTACATGAGATAAATGATTTCACAAAATTAGGAATTGCTGCAGGAGAGCAAAATCCAGGAGAGCTTTGAAAACTACAGTTGGGAGTGGTGCAGGAGCACAAAATCCAGGAAAGCTGTTGGAATTGCAGTCAGAAGATCAGATAGTAGGTGTCGTCGTCTAGACTAGTAGACTGTAAGTTACAAATCGTTTATAGTATATTGTTGACTAGTAAAGTGCCCGTAGTTTTTCCCGGTTGGGTTTCTCCGTGGTTATCTTGATGTTGATTTATTGTTTACATTATTTACTGTTTATTATATACAAACTACGGTATTTCAATTGAGGGCTAAAATGACTTGCATGATTAATCATCTAGATAAGAATTAAAAAGTGACTTATTGCTATTTAATTCATAAAAGATTTTACTTCCGCATTTTACACCTATTCCCCCCAGGTGTTATTAGGGTCGAACTGCATACCTTTCAATTCTTATTATTGTAGTGTGAGAATGAAAAATATAATCGTTATTGGGCCCTACATAAGAGATAAAAATTCAAAATTGATGGCTTGATGTGATGGATAAAGGTCATGGATGAAAAATGAGAAACAAACGGGCTCTTAAATTCCCTACCCCAATTTGTTTTATATAATTTTTATGTTTTCAATTCGGATCGTATTCAAAAAATAAAAAAATATATTAAAAAATAAAAAAAGGTTGATACATAGATATATTATAATCCCCTATCCGTTTGGCTTTTTGAAATTATCC